TCTTTAGAACTTTCTGGTCTCTTGATGGGGGGATTGGATTTCTTCTTTGTAAACTGCTTCCCAGCCAAGAGCTACAAAGGATTCTGAAAAGCCAGTTCATCTTGCCCTTCCAGGTTCCACAGGAATGCAGGTCCTGGAGTCTTGCAGGAAGGGAGGGGGGGAAGGCGGGGCACGGAGGGGAGGAATAGCCAATAGGATCTTGAGTAATGACTCTGTTGCCTTGGTCAATTTTTCACATGCTGCTTGTGTGTGACATTCAAATACTTTTTTAGAGAAATGAATTATTCTAAGATTTACTACTTCATCCTTCCTTGATTTTGAAAGAATATACATGAACGTTTATTTTTGTCTTTCCTTATTTCTTTGGCATTTTCCAGCTTTTCACCATGAATGCCAAAAATGATCATATCCTATGCCTGTAAAAACATTTCTGTGTTAACATTATTTTAAAATCTGTTTGCAGAATAGGACTTAGAATAGTGATCTCTTCTCATTGGTTGTCTATTATTGAATTTTTCCTTAACTTAGTCCCCAGCTTATTCTGTTCTGGTCTGATATCAAGGAAGTGCACGAAATATTCTAGTCTGGGTCTACTTCTTGAATTCTGCCTTTAGTAGTGGCCATTCTGACCTCCCTTTTAGAATGTCTTGTTTTCATTTAAAAAACCACCCCTGTTTTCTCAAGTAGATCGGGTGCGGCAAAGAAAAATGGCATTTTTCCCTATTACTTAGGAATTTCAGAAATAACACCTGACTTTAGGGTATTTTGTTTCTTTTAGTAAAAGAAATGCAATAGCCTGGAATCCCTATCCTTTTTGTCCATTTTCATAAAAATTGTATAGCCTATGACCATTAGAATTGATCAGGTACAGTTTGATCTTTTACGTGACATTACCTTAGGAGCTCATAAAGCTTGTACTTACATTCAAAGGCAGTTATTCCTAGTTGCCTGTGGGTGTTTGGGGAAAAAAATAACACCTTAAGATTGGATTGTTGGGACTTACTAGTCCTGTTTGGAAATGTTATATGGCCTTTATTTTGGGTTCTAAACTTAAAATGGAGCATTGGAGCCAGGCAAGCATGTGGGAAAAAAATGCCCCTGTCACAAATAGTAAAGTTTAACATCAATCCAAATGTTACATTGAATCCATTTAGTGGATTCAAGAGGCCCCTTCCCTGTTCAACCAGGCTTCTTTTGGCTAGTTTATGAAATATCCTTCTGAATGGACAGTCAAGTTTCTATCCTTTTGAGGATCAACATTTGTTTTGAAGAATAAGTTGCATCATTTCTTTCAGCTTCACAAAGCTTTCAGAATCTATTCGTTTCCGGTTTATATTGTAGGCAAGAGACTCAAACATGGCACACCCTACCATCTCACCATGCCTTTTGCTTCTGGCATAGCCAGATTGAGTAGCTTTTGTCCCTTTCTTTTTTTTTCTGTGCATGGGCTTGAACACTCCCATCATATTTGATTATTAATTTGTACTTACTTTTTTAAAAAGAGTCATTGGAGGCTTGAATGGCTGCTGGAAGCCTAGAATGCCTTCAGGAGCTTTCAATGTCAGAGATGGTCTATATGTGCCTCACAGGTAGGTAGATCCAGTGTCATCAAGAAAGGTGAGGTTGGAAAAGCAGTCTGGCAGTTGTTTCTTGTCTTTCAGCAGCTTTATTTTAGGATGGTTTCAAACCTAGACTGTGAGGATTGGGGATCTGATATCACATGTCTCCCCATGACACTATGTTACCACGATCATTTCCAGGTCATTTCCTGTTTCTGGGCTTCCCTCCCTGAGAGGGCAAACAACATACAGGGTGAGAAGGAGAACTCTGGGATTAAAAGCTTAGCTTTCTCAGTCCCCAGCTGCACAGTGGTATCTACCATGTGTAGCATTATTGTGGAAACTGTTTCATCCTTAATCCTCATTCAACAACAGACAGATGTTGTATATCTATCATGTTATAGGAGTGAGGGATAAAGCAATTACTCTGACACAGATAAATAACAGACATACAGATCGTTCTTGACTCAGTGAATGAGGTTCTGAGGCTGAAAAACACTGCAAATGGCAAATACATTTACCATACCTAATCCACCGCAAATCTTAGCAATGCAGTAGGTGTATTGTAGAGAATTGGTTAACTTCCTCTTGGGATCCCATGGTTGGTTGAGTAAAGTGGCTCACCGAGGCTACCCCAAAGAGACTCTACCATGTATCACTAGCTTGCAGAAAGACCGAACTTCAAGATTCCAAACATAGCTTCTACTGAATGGGTCCCCTTTTATCACACCATTACCTGAGGGGAAAGAAACTGAAGAAATGCTAATATTCTCCTTTCAGTTGGTCCTTTCCAATTAGAAGTGATAGTAGCTGTTTTAAAATCCGTTTCTTCTGAAGGTGTTAGTTTTCTACAAAGGAAAAGTGGCGCATTTCCTTGCTCTGTTTTTCTTTTCCTAGGTAAGAGTTACAGTAAAATAAAGAACAAGGTCTATCAACGTAGTGTCTTGTACATCTCATTGTTCCAATGGGTCCACCTGTATCCCTATTTAAACGATTTTTTTCTCTTCCCCTCCCCAAATTATACCAACATCAAATACAGTGAAAATAGGGGTTATAAAGTGGGGGAAGGACATACAAAGCAACAAAAAAAATCATATGATACCTTGTAAATAGGTTAGAAACAACAGCAAGCAAGAAAAAAAACCACTTGTGTCCCTATCTTGGGGTTCATTTCGCTTAACATCATCTTATCTGACCTTTTCTGCTTGTCCCAGACATATACTAGTTATTGAATATAAGAGAAACCATGGGACCTATGTTTCTTTGGGCCTGGCTTACTTCACTTAATATAATTTTTTCCAAGTCTTTCCATTTCCTAACAAATGGGGCAATATCATTCTTTCTGATGGAGGCATAGAATTCCATTCTATGTATGTTATATCACATTTTCTTGATTCATTCATCTACTGAGGGGCATCTGGGTTGGTTCCATATCTTAGCTATGGTAAATAATGCTGCAATAAACAGTTTTGCTGGTCGCTTTAGTATGCTCTTGTTTGTGATCATTTTGGTAAATGCCCAAAAGTGGGATTGCTGGGTCATAGGGGAGCTCTATGTGGAGTCTTTTGAGGGGAAAAAAAAAGAACAAGGTCTATGGTAGAAAGCAAATGTAGTTCCTCGGGGCAGTGGTAAAGGATTTTTGGAAAGGTATTAGTGGAAAGGTGGTCAGAGTGAGTGAGTCTGCGATTTGAGGGTACAGTCTTCGACATCACCTTTACAACTGACAATGACAGCAAATTCCTGCATCATCCCAAACCCCCATCAGCTTTGAAGATTTGATAGAATGACTGACAATGGTTGACTAAAAGTTGTTAGACTTATGATGGTGGTGTATTCAGGATGAATCCAGGCTAAAGTCATTCCAGAGAAAGAGATACACAGGACAGTTTGTGAGTTTCCAAGTGATCACCGTCTGTTATATTCTGGAGGTGTTACCCTGCCGTGTATGGTCATGTGGCCATATTATGGTCACATGATCTCCAGTGAGATATGTCTTATCTTAGACTACTGGCTATGCCCAGCCTCACTCTCAGATCCAGTGATCCATTAAGCCCATCTTCAGCTCTAAGACTTTTGTTAGTATGGCTCCCATTTCCTTCTAGAAATCTACAGTTGGTGTAGAATTCACACAAGGTCAGTTCTATATACGTTAGTATGGCTCCCATTTCCTTCTAGAAATCTACAGTTGGTGTAGAATTCACACAAGGTCAGTTCTATATACAAAAGGCAAGAGATTGTCTCTGCATAGAACCTGGAAACAGTTAATATGGGATGTTTTGTTACACATTCTGAAATCATGGCAACAAACCTCTCTCAGGCTCAGTGTTCCTTCTCTGTAGGTAGGGAATAATTAAGCCACTTAACCTCACAAAGCATTGTGAGTATTAGCAAACCGAGTCAGGCCTTGAGCATTCACTTAGTAGATTCAGCTGCTCTTATTTTCTTCACGTCATTGTGACTGTTATGTTGTGGGTTTACTCTTGCTGTTGTTGTGATACATGTTTGTCTAAAGGCTATTTCTGGATAAAGTAGCCAAAATGTAAATACATATATTTAGGACCTTTGGGGCCTATTCCATTTTAATTTCTTTGACTTCCTGTTCATGAGCTGCATTTCTTTCTTGGTCTGTTTATTCATTTTATTCTTTCTCTGCTTCAACAGAAACTCCTCTGCAATTCTACTGAGCATTCCAAGACAGGAGAGTAAAGAACTTCTATTTTTATCATTATTTCTGTGAATTTGTTTGTTTTCAGAAACAATCTGGCAATGATTATACAACTACAGTTGCATAAGCATTGGGTGAAGGCAGTATCTTTCTCCTTTTCAACTGCATATGACAACAACAAACATTTTTGGTTCTGTGTGTGTGTGTGTGTGTTGTTGAATTTGTCTTCAGAGGATGTTCAGGTTCATGTCGGACACATTCTGAGAAAGTCTCCTTGACAGTGCTATGTCTTTTATTTCATTTTTCTGGTAATAAATAAAAATTCCATCAAATATTGAGTGTTTTTTTTATTTGAAAATAGGCAAATAATATAACCAACCTTAAAATTTTTAGGCCCAGGGAATTTCATGAGGAACCCAATACTCAAGTGTTCAACTGGTTTCTTTTAGGTTTAGTTTTTGCAGGGACTACAGACAAAAAATACTTTTTTATAGTAGCTTCCACACTTTATTCTCCTCCAAACACATGAGTGTAGCCTGTTGTTACAAAGTAACTATTCATGACTATTGCAGGCTTTTTAATTTCATGTTTTATAGTTTAATGTCATTTTATTAATTTGGCAGTGTTTTATACTGACTTTCATTAGTGCAGGTATCCCACTGTTTAGAAAGATGCTGCTTAAGAAAGAAGAAATAACTCCTTGCTTGTTTTTGTCTTCAGAATGGAGCTTTTGTAGTTATTTACTTCTTCCTGTGTTTGTTTCTTTACCTGCTTAGGTGAGCTGCTCTTACAAGGCCCTGTGTTTATCAAAGAGCCCAACAACAGCATTTTCCCTGTTGGTTCAGAAGATAAAAAGATAACTTTAACTTGTGAAGCAAGAGGAAACCCTTCACCTCATTACAGGTACAGTGGAAATTTGGGAACAGTTTTTAAAATAAAGCTTGCAATTGTTTTACTTCCATATATTTATGCTATCAGTATGAAGAAACATATGAAGTTGTGTAGTATACTCAACAGATCTGACTCTACGACCATCTGAATAGAGACAACCTTGGTTGGATTGATTATTCACTTTATTGTAAAAATATGTTTGGATGTCTTAAACATGCAATGTCTTAATTTATAAAATTGGGTTTTACATTATTTGTCAGGAACATATGTATTGTAGTAGTAAAATTAAGAGGATTTTTAAAAATTATTTAAAACCATAATTTAAAGGTATGTATAAAAATAAAATTCTTAAAGTGAAAATGTATCTCCTTTATTAGATTTTTCTCATGGTAAATACTGTACTTTTAAGATCATGTCAGAACCTGCCCACTGAAGACCCTTAGCAGTCACAATCAGGTACAAGGAAAAAAACAAAGAGAAAATTGAATTCTCGTCATCTTAGAGTAAACATGCCAATACTTAGAGGTGATGACTGGTCATTTGGATGGCATGTGTATTCACTTGGTTAAATAACACAAGATTAACATGTTTTCCTTTTAGGAGATCTGCTTTAATGAAGAAGTGAATTATTTATAAACAGCACATGCTACTTCCATATCAATGGATGGAGGGTATGCTCAAGACATTTTTATAGCAACACGATTTTTCCAGTATTAGTATGCTTATGCAATTTATATGCTTATGCACATGAGTTCTGTAACCTACAGAACAAGCTACTTCATTCTATATTAATAAAATTCTAAATGTTCAGCATTATCATTTAGAACATATTGAGCTTTATTGTTCTCTGAAGGCATATAAATAATAGAACCCTACAGTCCTTGCTAAATTAGGTCAGGATTGTGTGAGAAGCTTGACCCTTGGATTTTTGCATGAGAAAGCAATTGAGGTTAGTCTTTTTTTCCACACTATTCTACAGCATACCTTGTGTGTACTGTATTCTTGCAAAAGTGTAAATGTTACAAATCCAGGTTGCCTGTCTGTACTGGCAGAGGTAGAAAAGAGAGTTTTTCTTCTGCTTTTACTTCTTTATATAGAAATAAGAACCAAGTTCTCAGATAATAGGAAATAAGAAACAATTTTTGTGTGTTGGATTGTTAGCATATCCAACATCTTGAAATATGTCTTCTTTGAGGCAAAGATGAACAGATTAATTTAGCAGTGTATTTTTCTGGAAATATTTCTTTTCACCATATTCTTAAAGTGTTCTGACACCTTTTCAATGCATTTGTTTTCTTATAGACATGGCTGTGAATATGATAAAAAATTCCATATAAATGACTCATTTGTGCTCTTTTGCTGTTGTCAATGAAGTCATTTTTCCTGGCATTTATCTTAGGAATAATTTGGCAGTAAGTGCATTCAGCTAAAACATTGTCAAGACCTAGGATCTAGTTAAATAGGAATGAATTTTCTAAGTCAGTGGATTATTTGTGATTATATAATTTTATCAAATAGTGACTTGTCTTGTGTTTGGAGATCCAGAAATAGCCTTTTGTTGTAATGTTACCTTTGTGTACTTTACAGGAATGATATGAAATCTGCATTTCAGTGTATCGATTATGTATATAACATTTGAAGAAGTTTTACCATTTGGATAGTAACCCTTATGTTTTTTTTTTTGGGGGGGGTCCGGTCGTGGGGCCTGAACTGTGGGCTTGGACACTGTCCCTAGCTCTTCAGCTCAAGGCTAGCGCTCTACCACTTGAGCCACAGAGCCACTTCTGGCTTTTTTCTTTTTGCTTATGTGGTGCTGAGGAATCGAACCCAGGGCCTCAGGTATGCAAGGCAAGCGCTCTACCACTGAGCCACCTTCCCAGCCCGAGTAACCCTTATGTTTTATGATCTGTCCTGAGATGTCACTGTATCTTTTGTAGGTTTCAGTTTAAACACAATCTGTAACTGATATAGGAGAGATATGTGACTTAGCTTGATTTCTTAGCTTTAAGTTTGATAAGTGAATAAACTTTTAACATGTGAATCATTATTTTAAAATTCAAATATAGCAGACACTTTGGAGTTGTACAAGTTTTCTAAAGTTAAGATTATATACATATATATATTTTTTTCAAAATGTAAATAGGGACTTAGATACCAAGGAATAGTTAAGGAGTATTCTGAAGCCTTATGAAGTCTTAGGAAGAAATTTCAAGGCAATCCAAATGTATCTCTAAAGATTCAGAATAAACTCTAAGTGGCTTATATAAGAATATTCTTTGAAAGCTCAGAGCCTGTCATGTAGACTGAGGCAAACTTGTCCATTGGGAGAACTTATCTTATTATTTTCCCATTGGGCAAAAAAGAAGTCTTAATTGGTCATATTAGACATACAAAAGTTCAGAAATTCTCAAGAGAAATGACTTGTCTTAGAGTTTAATTGAGAATTTTATCCTTTCTCTTATATTTCCTTGCTCGAGCCCTAAGGCTTCTATTTAAAGGTTAATTAGTATTCGGTCTCACCATAATTGCTGATGGTCTTGAAAGAGGTTATCCTGAGGAAGTCTTAGCACTTTTCTCAAATGGGGAGGACTGTCCTCTTGCTTTTCATGTGAGTACAAATACTTTGTGTTTGCTGAACAACCTTCAATGGGTACATCTTTGTTACTTTTCTATTTAAAGGCGAGGATATTTGTGTAAAACTACAGCAAAAGGTATGGCTGTGAATATGGAACAGGGAAGTCACAAAACCCCGTGAAGGGAATCTGAAGAGAGAATATGTGGACCTGTTGAGTAAAGCCTAGAAAGTTATTTCACCACAAACTATGACAGACCTCTTTTTAACACTGGCCCAGGGTTACCATCCACAGTCTGTCTACATTTACTGTTAGCTTCATTTATCAGACATGATATAAGATGAAGAAAATAAGGTATAACACTGAAGGTGTGGGCCTGTGTGGGCATTGAGTTTTCAACTCTTAGCTTTGTTCAAGACTTCAGAGCTCTGCTAACCATTGTAGTAGCCAGTGGTTATGTGTGGCCTCTAAATTTAAATCCATTACATTTTGTTAAATCAAATTTAAATAAATGAAAATTCTCCTTCCTCAGTCACAGCAACCTCATTTAAAGTGCTTCTTAGATATATCTATAGCTCTAGAATGGTCTGTTGGGCCCACTGTTCAAGACCAGGTTCTGCACCCACACACATTTGTTTTCACATGAAAGTGACCAGAATATCATTTTCATCCAGCTTTATAGAATCAGTAAAGTAATTAAGTTAAAAATCTTATATGAGGAACCTTGGATACACAGCTTTAAGAGATAATTATCACTGCAGTGGGAAGGGATTTTCTAGCTTAAAGGTCTTCAACATATCTCTGTAATGGAGTCACCTCCTGTACCTGTTTAAATTACTGAGATTTGACTACATGTAAAAATTGTAAGAAATGAAAGGAAATGAAATAGTATACTAATTTCTGCTTACGTTTTCTTTGAGGAGTGGCTGTAAGGAAAAGAAGTATTAGACTATTTCCTGTATATACACACATGCAAAGACATGCAGAATGCTATACATTGTGGTTTATGTATCACTGTATTGAACTGTATCTATCTACAGATGCTATGAATTCCCCTAATAGAATATAGAGTGCAGACATGCTGTTCAGCACATAAAAAGCATAGCATAAATGCTATCTACAATATGGTCTGTATCATAACATATCATGTGATCACCAATGACATAATTTAAACAGAGTTTTGGTAATATGTTATTTGTGTTCAAATATTTTTATTGCGATGTGAGTTTTGGTGTTACTATTACTTTACTTTCATGTCCCAAGGCAAATAAATATTATTGTTCCTTCAAATTCCCCCAGCTATAGGGAAATTTGATCCTTCCCACTAAATTTCGAAGCCCAGTTCTCTGTGTTTAATCCTCAAACTCAGTTCCTCACAGTGTTCTGACTGCTCCAGCTGCAGAGCTCTGGTACCCATACTCACAGCCACTAAGAGCAATTGAACAATTGGAACAACTACAAAACACACACACACACACACACACACACACACACACACACACACACACACACACACACACACACACACACCATATCTACAATGCCTGAGGCAAACAGATGCAGATAACTAGGGAAGGCATTTCCATTTCCCCAAAGAGCCTTCTTGATATTTTTCTGCTCTGGGTTCTGTTCTGTACCCACCCAGTGAACTGCTCAACCTGCCTGTAATGTCAAATGAAATGTGTTGGCCCCAATTGCTTGTCACTACCCTGAAGGTGAAATTGGATGTTTGCATCTCTGCATTACTAGCCTGTCCAGTAGTGAATGTTTACTAGCTGATACTGAAAAGCAATGGAATGAAATTAACAAGAGAGAAAGAAAAATGAAGGTTTGTAGGATTAAGGCATATTTCAGAAATCAAGCATGTAGTAATGTGCAGAAATGAGGACTATTCTAAGCACAGGGTTTGGATTGAGTCCTCTCCATTGACTCCATTTTAAGACAGATACCTACAGGTATCAAAGATTCCTGCCTGGCTCTCCTGATATCCTTATGTCTACCCCATAAATACAGCAGGAAGTGTCATCAACTCCCCCTCATCATAGCAGAAACAAATGTGAAATACAATGCAATGAATACTGTGAGCAGTCCATATCAGCTGAAACAGAAGGTTTCAGAGATGTGAAAATTAAAGGGTTTGATACAACATGTTGAAGCATGCTTTGCATGCTTTCTTCAATTTTCTTCTGTGTTTTTATTTTTTTCCTGGTGGGATAAGGAGGAAAGATCTTAATCAAACACCAATGGAATCTGATGAATTACACTCACATTCTTAACGAGTCATGTTGGCCTGAGATGTGGAATGTTTGCATTTGCAAGACTAAGTCATATGTGGAATGACATTTACTCTGGAGAATGGGGACTTGCTAGGAGGAAAAGTTAAAACAGATGCAGGAAAGACAAAAGTTGCAATCATCCCTATCTCTGCCTGGAATAATT